GCAAAAAGCATTTTTGTAGTTATTATTTTTCGGTTCCCAATAAATTAATTATTATCACATGCAAAAGGAATTTTCGATAAATTAGTAATTAGGAATTAATAGTATTTTTTTGATTTCCCAATAAATTAATAATTAATGTTACATGCAAAAAGCATTTTCGTAGTTATTATTTTTGGGTTCCCAATAAATTAATTACTATCAGATGCAAAAGGCATTTTCGATGAATCAGTAATTAGGAATTAATACTATTTTTTGTTTCCCAATAAATTAATAATTAATGTTACATGCAAAAAGCACATTCGTAATTATTATTTTTAGGTTCTCAATAAATTAATTACTATCACTTGCAAAGGGAAGTTTCGATAAATCAGTTGTTACAAATTAATATTATTTTTTGGAGGGGGTAAAATGACACTTTTCGCCCCTTCCCGAATTTTTTTTCCGCCAAACTCCTAGGCGGGCATCTAGTTTTGGCTGCCTAATAGTGTCCGCCTTAAGAATGCATAGGCGTTTTTTCCAAAAAGCTGCCTAGGCGGGCGCCTAGTTTTGGCCGTCTAATAGTGTCCACCCGCCTTAAGACTAGGCGTTTTTTTCAAAAAGCCGCCTAGGCGGTCGGGCGGACAACTTTTTGATCATTGGAAAGATATAAAGCAAGATTGGTTGCAAAAGGTTTTACTTGGACTCTTGGTATAGACTACCAAGTCTATATTGTAGCAATAACGTAGCCATTCATATTACAGAAAATCCTTTTATTCATGAAAAGACTAAACACATTGAAGTAGATTGTCACTTCATCAAAGAGAAGGTTGCTGCCAACATCATTCAGTCTCCTCATATGAAGTCTAAAGATCAACTTGAAGATATCTTCACCAAAGCCGTTGGACGGACATATTACATGATATCACAAGCAAGCTGGGCATGAATGATATCTAAGTACCTACTTGAAGGGGGGTGTTGGAAATAAAAGGAATAACCTTTATTGCAATTGATGGGTAGAACTGTCATTTATCTTTTTTTAGTCTTTATTTGTCTTATTTTTCTAAATAAGTGCAGTAATTTCCATAAATTGTAGTTATGTAATTACTTAATATAAATAAGAGGGGTAGAGCTCATTATAAATCTCTACGCCACTCCCTTTCCCTCGCTATCTCTCTATCTCTCACACGCCTCTCTCTCCCCCTCTTCATATTTATTTTCTTTCCTCTCTTTCGCTCTCCAGATCCTATCTAACTGTTTTCTTCTCTACTTTAGTTTAAACTCTTATTTTGTGGGAGCAAAAGAATATATATATTTTTTGAAAATATTCTTCAAAATTTTTGACCAAATCTTTTGACTTTGAATTTCTACATCTTATGTGAGAGAGAAGGAATATCTAATCAAAATAGAAATTCAAATTTAGATAGGCATGCCTAGGGCTCTTGAGGCGTATATGAGGAGGGTAATTCCTAATTCTACACAAGTTCCTAGCGCCCCACCCCCCCCGCTCTCTCTCTCTCTCTCTCCC